TCATATAATCCTACACCTCTAAATTTATAGACATAGATATTTATTAATATAATTTTATATTTTGTTTCCACTTTACAATACATTCGAATTACCAATTTTTTTACTATCAAGATATTTACCATTATAAGTTACTCTAGCTTCATCGTTAAACTCTTCAACTCAACTCAACCCATTTATTAATTTTGACTTCATCTCTTCCTTCATCATTCCATCCACCTCCAGATCATATTTAATATTTTTAACTTACATCATTTAAATATTTTCCTATTTTTCCAATAAAAATTCTATCTACAAACTTTCTAACCATTTTTATATTAACCATCAAGAGTGATTTAAGAATCCATTTTAAATCGATCGCTAAACTCAATCAATCTCCCATTTATATACCCATCATTTCTATAATCATATAAGCCGCAAACCGCTACATATAGATATAATATTTTTAAAGTATTTACATTTATCTAAGTTTATTCTAACAATAATCTTTTTACTAAATATCCAATTAACTACATTTTTTACCATTTTTATATTCACCATCAAAAGAAACTTAAGATATTTTATGAAACTCATCATTAAGTCCACAAATTAAATCATAATAACGCATAAATTTGTAATAGATTTACATTGGGATTGGTTATAAAGCTCAAAGAATCTCATATGTTACTTAAACTTATTTTATCACTACACTTTAGAATTTCAACCTCTTATGTATATCGAAAATCATTTTTTTAATTTTTTTCCAATCAGGTTCTGTTGTATATTAACTCCATTCATATCTAACGACAAATTTTAAATGATCAGAACTAATTGGAAATTTCTTATTTTATGCAATAGTATTTACTCATAAATTTCTATCAAAAAATTTTGAAGTTGCAGGATTTCAAAAGCAATTCAAACAATCTACCAACTACACAAAGTGAATTTTTCTCTTTATCTTTCAACCATACTTAAAAATCATTATTAGTCACATCAACACCTGTCACTAATAAAACTAAACAGAGTAACCTTCTTTAGGTGAATTTACACATGTTTTTCATCATAGTTGGTATTAGTTTTATCCCAAAAAAATGTTTTAACTCAATTAGTTTACGTCACTGCTATATCACTTTATTCTATAATGGTAATTGACTCACAATTAGCAACTAATTCTGTGCAATCTTTCTTTGTTTAATTAACACATCATTAGAATTAAGTATAGGATTTACATAAAACTAAAGTATAATCACCATCAACCTTAGTTGGTGCAGTAGTACTAAAAATATTAAGATAAACATATCTAGTCCAAACACATCTCTCACAACTAGCTTTCAATTCAAATTCTTCTTAACAGTTAATGCTGTACGTGTTAATTATATCAATAGAACCTTTCTTTTTATTGTCAAAGTACATCTCAATAGGCAACTTTAAAATTCTTCTTGAGTTGAAGATGATT